AGTCTCTTGTGTGCCAACCCACAAATGTTGTGGTACAGCTTGTTTTGATTTGGTTCAATGTTGAACGACAACATTTGTGGGTTGGCACACAAGAGACTAGGGCATGGCAAATCATATACTTGGTATTAGGGACCACACAAAAGGCCACACCATCTTTATCTTCATACCTTCGATTAACTCTATTTCATTGCGGATGGTTAAACTATCCAGAATCCCAAAGCTAAGTAACCTTATTTATGAAAGCTTCTATCAACCTGCTGATATTCCTTTCAAGTATACCCTTCAATAAACTAGCCGTACTCACGCATCAAAATAAACCTAAGAGGCCAGCTTGACTTGGCGGACTAGGATGTAAACGAGGTGTGAAATTATATTTGTGAAAAGTAGCCTTTTGAAGTAGACAGACCTCTAAGAGTCCTTCGTATTAACTCGATAAATTTGTATACCAACACGATTTTATAGTTAAGCCTCGTATTTGTCCAACAATTGATCATTTAATTAAAATAGCTACATTACTCGCAACATATGATTAAGATGGTGTAAACTCTATTTTGATTAGCCGCTTTTCACTGTTTAGTTTGAAGTGGTTCGACATATCTTTATCAACTTGATCGTATTGTCATGGCGACCTCGAAAAGCGCTTCTTGTCCTGGACCCTCTGTCATATTAGCCATGGCAATTTGCATCATGGGGCCTTGGGCTAGGCACATTTCCAGATATTTCGACAGCATTTTAGTGAGCACCAAACTACAGATGATTAAAGTGGCATGTGATCAACTTTATACCAAACGATTTTGGCATTGCTACTTCTCTTCTGCTATATACTCGTATCTAACCCCCCACCTCTATTACAACTTCTAATTTGTTAAGGCTGAACTACAACAGAATGAAAATGGGAATAATGAGGAGCAGTAATATCAGAAATCGAAGACCAACTGAAATGGAGTTCTGAGCTGAAGAATTGGTCAAATTGACATGTGGAGTATCTTGGAAACGATTACCCGATAGAGATTGTGCAAAATAAACTAAGGACAGTGAAAAGCAGACTACATGGTAGGGATTATGAAAAGAAAATGAGGATAGGAAATAGACAAAAACGTGGATATGCCTTATTTCCTGCGAACTAATTCACCTTATTAAAAAGATAGGATATTCAAGTTACTGCGAATTAAAATACAAAACTTTTGAAACGTTTATCCACACAATATGACAAGGTAAACAAACTGTATTATTTGTTAAATTATTACATAACATGCGATACCTGTGAGCAGAGCATGTTGGTTAGGCAAAAGTGAATCTCAGTATACCTAATGCAAAACATTAAATGCTCAGAGAGATCAGAAATAGTGGAAAACATTGCGACTACCGCTGAAAGTTGGGCCTCATACGGAAAAGATGCAGGGAAACGAAAGACTAGAAAGGCCATGGGTGCGCTTGCTGAGAGATATCAAATGAACAGAAGTTTGGGAGAGATACAGTTGGCTTAAAGTGCATGGGTTGAATCGTGGAGATGGCTCGTGAAGACAATGCCTGATTATGAAATTTACCTTTCAGACGCTCTCACTCGAGAAGGGTTGGAGGAAAGAGTTAAGCTGGGTCTATGGCAATACAACTTTGCTTCATCGACAATCCCATTAC